AGCCAAGAATGTGATACAATCTTGCGATTCATATCAGCAAATCCAAACAGGCCAAGAATTAGAATACACTGGCAAGGAATATCAGCGGTACTGGGTGTGGCAGATGGACCACAGCTACATTCCTCTGGCGCCCCACAGTAGATGACACCTGCTCTCATACAGAAAGGAATGCCAGGACTATCATGGCTGTCCAAAGAACGTTCTGCTGTGAGTTTAAGTGTCCCACCCCATTAGTCAGACCACATTCCTTCCCCAGCATATAACAAGGAACGGGGGCATGATGCCACCACACCTGGCATGACAGAGGGAAGAGTAAACCATAACCAATAGGGCGTCAAGAAGCATGATTAGCAAGGTGGTCCTGTGATGATGATATATATTGCTTTCATTGGCTAACAAATAAAGCTGCTTTGGCCTATGGTAAGGCAGAATATAGCCAGGCTGGAAGAGACATACAGAGTAGGCAGAGTCAAAGAGATGCCATATAGCTGCTGGAGAAGGCAGATACCATGTAGCTGCCCAAGAAGCAAAAGGTAACAAACCATGAGCCTCGCGGTAGAATATGAAATAGTAGAAATGGGTTAATTTAAGATGTAAGAGCTAGCTAGAAATACACTTGAGCCATTGGCCAAACAGTGTTGCAATTAAGATAGTTTCTGTGTGAGTATTTGGGTCTGGGTGGCTGGGAAATGAACACACAGTCTCCATTTACATAATGGCACCAACACGGGTCAACTACATCCACATAAAACCTGAGAGAGCTTGGGAAGGAATTCTAGACACAAAAGAACAGAGTTGAGCACAGCTTCTTGGTAGCAGCATTTTCTCAGGTGGACTCTGTTTGCTAAAGGCAAGCAGAGGTGCAGCTCCTTTAAGAGAGGCTTCCTGACTCAGTGTTAGCAGCAAAAACTGTGTGGTTTAAGAAACAGCAGCTTCCTAGTTCGTGCTGGCAGCATGAACTCTGGCTCTTTTGGGAGGTCCTGCACTTAAATGGGGTTTGTGAGCAGTGTGCTACCACCTGCTGCGTCCCTGGAGCTGGGGTAGTGAACATGACTTGAAGAGGTGGTGAACGTACCTCCACCATGTTAGAAGGGGTGGAGCCAAAAGGCAGTGCTGCAGAGTTGGTCCTAGCCATGCCCGCTTAGCATTTAAAAACAAAAAAAGCACTCCTAGTCAGAAAATGATCACAAATATACAATAAAGACAGATTCGGATAAAAATAGACCTCTAAATGGGTCACAGTGTTTATAAAAGAGTACAGACAGTCATAGATTAAAGGAGTAAAGATAGTTAAATATATATTAAAAAGTAATAGAGTAATAAAAAGCCACGTAAAGATGGAATATACACAGAGAGTCTGGATTATGCATACTATTGTGTTTCCTTTGAATTTTTTGATTGCAGAGAGATATTTGATCCTGGAGGCTGCTAAGCTAAACCAACACATAAATAATCTTCAACACTTCAAAGACCTACGGAATATGATATTTTAAAGGTTTTAAGAATTTAGTCTTTTCTTGACAGTGAGATATGTCTGCTTCTGGCAGCACCAATCTACTTCAAGAGGATGATGGGCATTGAAGAAACCCATTATGGAATTTGCCTTCAGTGTGACAAGGCTAGCCATCTGGGCAAGAAACTGCTCTTGCCTAGACTGCTGTATAAACTGGACATGCAGGACCCACAGAAAAGTGACTGCTGAACTTTCCAAATGATGGGATGGGCCTTCAGAGTTCCTGCTTCACAGAAGAAACTGCCAGACTTCTGCAGGACACAGTGTTCTTAACAACTGATGAACTTTAGTGGTACAAGGCAGAAAAGATCTTCAGATTTCCTGTTTCATGGAAAAGTCTGTCAGATACCATGGGCCTATAGTCCAAAGATGGATGCCCCAATGTTACAGAACTTCGGGTTACTGTCCAGGCAGGGAGATGTCTTTATCAGTTCTAGAACTTTGGAAGTTGCTTATAATGCACTTCCTGTTTACTTAGATAATATTATATATCCTTCAGGGGTCTTTGAAGAATTGAAGATAGATAGTTACAGTTATAGTTTTCCTCAGTTATGATAAAAGATAAATTACATGTGAAACTTTAGACTCACAAAGATAGCATAGATGACAGAGTCTTTTTCTTAATTTGCCAAATGTAAATGGACTAAATATTTTAACAGCAATTCTTGTTTGATAACTTTTGTGTGTGTGTGATTTTACTATGTTCAAGTTAAAACCTTCCTTTTTATTTAGATAGAAAAGGGAGAATGATGTGGGATGTCCTTCTGTATATGCATTACTTTCATTGGCTAATGAATTAAGCTACTTTGGCCTATGGCAAGGCAGAAGACATATGCAGAGTAGGCAGACTCATGGAGACATCATGTAGCTGCCAAAGGTGGCAGACAGCATGAAGCTGCCCAAAAAAAGCAAGAGGTAACAAACCACAAGCCTCGTGGTAAAATATAACAGAAATGGGTTAATTTAAGATGTAAGAGCTACCTAGAAATATGCCCGAGACATCAGCCAAACAGTCTGGTAATTAATTTGGTTTCTGTATGATTATTTGCATCTGGGCAACCAGGAAACGAAGAAGCGGTCTCTGTTTACAATCCTGTCACCTCACTGAGCTATTTAGGAGATCAGGTGTCACATCAGCCAGAGGCGGCAGTGTTCTGGTGCATGCTAGCAAACATGGGTTTTGGGGGACAGATCAATCATTTGCCCTGTCAGACTACACCCAGGGAACTCCAGTCTCAGTGTGTTCCACCATGCTTTTTCTTCTTTCCCTCTGGTACTGTTTCTGTGCTGGTTTGTTTTATGAGTGTATGCATGCATATACATGTGTGTACACAGATGCACACATATGTGGAAGCCAGAGGACGACTTCTGGTTTATCTTCCTCTGTCACAGTCCCCTTAGATTCTGAGACACATCTCTCACTGAACCTGAAGTTATATCAGCCTGGCTGACAAGCCAGTGTGCCCCTTCAGCCCACCTGTCTCTGCACCCCAAGGCTACAAGCATGGACAGCCACGCCCAGCTATGAAGTGTCTACAATGTCCATCAGAAGAGCCCCATTGGTTTATTCCCTGACTCAGACCCGCACTTTGGACAGGGATGGATGTGCAATTCTTCTCACGTCACAGGCTGTTAACTGGCAGAGACAGCACAGCTGAACTGATTAATACACAATCACACCCTGCAGGGGTCACCTTGGCCCTCAGGGTATATGTTTCCTTGTAGAGCTCTATGGGCTGTATTCTGCCTTCCTCCTGGAAAGGTATCTTGCTTGAAGTACTAAACACGTGGGACAGAAGGACAAAGGGATCCCCGTCTGCTGTTCTGTTGCTAAGGCCAAATACTGGCTGCTTGCATTTGGGTTTCTGAGCACACGGACACAGTAGAATAAAATCTCAAGGGCCATGGTGTGGACAGCTAGTACTACAGCCCTGGTCAACAGGGCCATCAGGGCTCACTGCCCTTGCTAGCAAACGTTCTGAGGGAGAATAGCACACCCTTGAGCATCTGCTGACAGAACCGAGCCTGGGTCATTACCAACGCCTCCTGGTGTGTGCGCATCTACTGTGTAGGAAAGACAATGCATGCTCAAGATGGCTGCCACCTACAGATCCCATCACTATTGGCCTCGTTCCTCGGCTTTCGTCACTGGTCCTGTTAGTGGCCACTCTGAATGCAGGGACACACCATAAACTATGCCAATCATTCATGACCACTTCAGCATACCTAGGGAAGCATTCCACCTTCAGTGGCCCCTGGTCCTGTTGGGTGCGGTATTTTGGCTTCTCTTTGCCTAATTCTTATTCCCCTAGTACTGTAATGAAGCAACCATTGCCTGACACATTTTCCCAACTGTTACCTAAGGCATTCCTCCATCTGGAGATACCCATACTTCCCAGGTTTCCCTTCCTAATTAGTAGAAATCTTTATTTTGGATATGCTGTTCCTTTTTTGTTTGTATACCTTGGTAACTGACCTACCTTCCCTCGTAGTCTAGGCAGTCCTTCATCTTGTGACAGCTATGCCAAGGCACTCACTCCCCGTAGGACTGTGTGCACATCCCAGAGCCATTCTGCTTCTTTCCCCCTGAATACAGCACAGTTCCCATCACCATCGATGACTCCGGCGGGGGGTGTGGGTGGGGCCTGATGGCATTGACTTGCTTGTGTGTCCTCCATGAGCTGGGACTCCTCATCTGGGATCCGTAGCTGGACCTACCTTCCTCACACACACTATGTTTGGGACATACTGATCGCACTCTGATACCCCCAGGACTGCCAATAAAGTTTACTTTGAATCAGAGGGTGGAGCCAGCTGACCAAAATTAGCCACAGAGGTTTTGGAGGACTGAGGACATATAGAGAGGCACAGGAAGTAGTACGGTGGGGCTTAGAAAGATTCTTGGCCCTTTTGGATCAAGGAAGGAGGGGGTCCACTGGTCACTTTTCTGTCCCTTCTCTGGTCATCAGGGTCTTACCCCAATGTCTGACTCCTGAGTTTTTATTGATAAAGGATAATTAGATAAACGCGTCAATGCTATGACAGGAGCTGTAACTGCTACATGGAAAACTGAAGTAGGAGCAAGAAAGGCAGAAAGAAGTAAAAGAATGAACTTGGGTCCTGTAAAGTCACAAAGGTGAGCAAAACCAGTGGTGTCCCTCGAAGGTCAAGAGTGCCACTGACGGACATGGGTTTGGTCACCTAAGGGAAGTTTGGGGCACACATTACACACTTCCTGGGCCTACACCAGACATGATTGGCTCCATATCAAGCAAGCAGCCCCTTCTTCACTGGGCCACCTCAGAATCAGCCACCAGTGATACATTACACAGACTGCTTGCAATTGTATTCCGACCTCTGATGCTACCAAAAGTAACACAGACATGGAAGAAGTAACATATCCTCTGTAAACTATAAAACACAGTGAATGAGGTAAGCCCACTGGGTGTGTTATTATACAACACAGTAGACATTAAGGATAGGCACATCTGTGTAACACATAGATTTATTGGAATTTAAGACAGAGTCTCGATTTTATTTACACTTAAGAAAATGTAACAAAGCCTCTTCTGTATCCTTGAGTTACCATAAAGCCCCACGAGTACCTCCATGGAGAGCAGGAGGCTGATGCCCAGACAAAGCAGACAGATTCCCCTCCTGCCAATAAACAATCCTAACGGCCAAATGTTCATGCTGACTGGGCGCCTGAGGAGCAGTCAGGCTTTACCACAGCAAACCGCTGGCCATCCTGTGGCTCTTAGGTCCCATAATGCAGCACTCTCACACCCAGAGATCCATTCACCTCCCAGAGGGCACACATGTCAAACAGCACATTGCAGTGAACACAAAAACTCCTGGGGACGATTCCAGAGTCTCCCTCCTCCCTTGGAACGTGCATTTGCAAAGCAGCACTGCAGAAGCGGGGACACTGGAGTGTGCTACAGTTCTTACAAGAGCATTTTAGAAGCACCACATCAGGGGTGGCTGAAGATACGATTGAGGCGTGCTCCTCGGACTCACGGCCGAGACTGGGCAGTCACCCATCTCCCGGGTGGGAGCTGTTTGTCAATAAGCACCCTCAGAATGCCCGCTCCTCTTCTATTTTTCATACACACACAGGGTCGAGGGCAGTGTCCCTGTGCATCAGACAAATGTCTGAATATGGAGCATGGTGTCTTCTGTCCAGTGTAAGCAAACGCTGGGACTGTGCGCTAGTAATTATGTCAATGTTACAGAATAGAATCACCTAGGAAACAAAGCTCTGGGCGTGTCTGGGAGGGGAGCGGAGGTGCAGAGACTCAGGCGAGATTTGAGTGGCATCATCCTCATGGACTGAATTTAAAAGAGCAGAGAGCTAGGTATCAGCACTCCACTCTGGAGAATGTTCCTCCCATGACGAACTGTGCCCTACAACTGTGACCCAAAATAAACCCTTCCTTCTCCATGATGCATCTGTCGGGTATTATGCCACATCATTGAGAAAGTGACTGACACGGACTCAGACCTGAGCCTGATCCTCGTTCCATACTTTGTCCCCGTGAGATGCTGGTCCACAGCCAATAGCCAAGAGGACTTTTAGGTGAGTATGAAGGCTTTGCACTTGACTGGGGAAGGAGTACTTTGTCATGAAACTATTTACTTATATTATAGGAAACAAAGCAGGAGAGGAGGGGGGGAGAATAAAACTTTTCCATTAAGGGGATCACTTGGCAACTTCTGTCATTAGTCATTAATTTGTTTTGAAACAGGGCCCAAGGTAATGTGCACATGGGTGGGAGAGGAAGGCGAGAAAGGGGGAGAAGAGATGAAAGGGCACTCTGGGGACAGGACATGGGTGGAGGACTATGGAGAAAACAGACTTCCCTGCTTCAGTTTCCCTTAAACTTCCTTATCAGCAAGACTCCTGGGACAGACGTCTAAAAACATCTCAAGGCCCAGTGCGGGAGCCTTCGCCGTCTTTGGAGGGGGGCGTCTGTATTAACTTAGGTCTTGCCAATCCAGTAAGATTTCCAGACAGAATCCCAGGGGAACCTCTGTTTCCAGCAGCAGGAGGAAGATCTATACTAACCGAACACCGCTTCCCCGGGGGGGGGGGGGGCCTCACTGACTCATCCATCTAAATGGGGTTCCAATACCGGCGCAGGCGAAAGCAGCGGTCGGTGCAGGGACGCCAGAGACACCTGGCCATGCACATCCTGCCAGGTACTCAGCGTCTCTTCAGGAAGATGTCAGTCTTGGTGTTGAAAGCACAGAAATGAGACACCATCCACAAGGTGCACGGGGTTGAGGGGATGCCAGAGATAGGAAAGGCTGAAGACATCTTACGAAATGGTCCGCTGTCCAGGGCAGGAAACACACGCCCTGTTGTGCAGAGTCACTCCAATCTCCTCAATGCATTCTAGGTACTAAAACAAGGTGACGCTTTCTGGATGGGCCACAGGACTCGCACTGCCCATTGAAAAACGGTTCAGTAAGAACCCGAGTCCCCAAGCCGGGCAGGGTGAAGGGGCAGCACCCGGAAGACAACCGTCACTTCCAGCTGGTGGAGCGTGAGGAGCCTGGCGAGGAGTCCCAGGAAATGGAGGCAAAGAGGCAAGCAGATGCCATGGGTGAGCAGTCCACACAGGGCCGAAACCTGAGGAGCCCGATTGGAGCGCTGGAGGGGCGGGGAGGAGCCGGGATTCACTGTGAACACAGAATCCAGTAGGCACAAGGCTACCCAGAGAAGACCTTGCGGGCCTCGTGTGTAATTTTTAATTTTCCAGCAAGATAGCTTTAACAAAAAGTAAAACAGAATCAGGCAAAACTAACTTTGATATCATATCTCACTTAGTCCAAAGAAATAAAATGTTCAATAAGTAACCAATGCAAAAACAATTAACGGAGTGCTTTATCTTTGCTTTGTTTGCGGTGAACAGGGGATCTCTGCAGCGCACAGGAAGCAGGAAGAGCAGCAACTACGGATGAAGGAAAACTCGGACCACTGAGGAGCTTTCCCAAACTGCATTTTTAAATTACTTTTCTGGAGAATTTCTTACCATGTATTTTCCCCACACTCACCCTCACGCCTCCTGGATGCACTTCCCCACCACCGCCTGACTTCGCAGAGGTATTTTTACAAACAGTCACAAAGGGAGGTGGGGGAGAGTTGGAGCAGGCCGACTGTGTTCTCTGCTGAACAATACAGCAAATGGCAGCTTCTCTGAGATGGAAATCAGACGGGTCCCTGTCAGGAAAAGTCAACAGGGCTTTGCGAAGCACAGTAGGCCGAACACCGCAGGGCCCTATCCAGGGACCTGCTGCACCATGCAAGGTCACCATGGAGACAGGCCCCTCCTGGCCTGGTCAAGGCCATCTCAGGAGATCTGGGTCCCCAAATCTTTTAGTCTCTTCGGCAGAATGGGGCATGGCTTGGGCAAGCATGCTAACGGGGCGGTCCTGGCTGTCTCAGACTTCCCATCAGCAGAGCTGCTGCCCACCAGGAGGAAGGGTGAGCTGAGGGGTCACCCTCTCTCCAGCCATCAGCGGAAGCCCAGCTGATGTTGGTTTCCTCCCTTCTCCAGCTCCTGAACCCCTCACTGCCGTGGCAGAAGCTAAGAATCTTCTTTCGCTTTTTTGGAGAAAACCTACGGTTACAAGAGACTCTGTCCTGAGAGAGCACGAGAGCAAATAAAGAAATCCCTGAAGCCTGTGACGTGGAAACAGGCCCTGGCTAGCCTTAGCGCCTATTTTATGTTCTAGCTATATTGCATGGACTGTGGGTGCTTCACCTCCTGCATGCATGTGCGTGTACGTCTACACACATACACACACACACA